TACCGTTTTTGTATATGTACCATTTGTGTATATGTACCGTTTGTGTACCGATTGTGTATATATACCGTTTGTCTATATGTACCGTTTGTGTACCGTTTGTGTAGATGTACTGTTTGTGTATATGTACCATTTGTGTATATGTACCGTTTGTGTACCGTTTCTCTATATGTACCGTTTTTGTATATGTACCGTTTGTGTAGATATACCGTTTGTGTAGATGTACCGTTTGTGTACCATTTGTATATATGTACCATTTGTGTATATGTACCGTTTGTGTATATGTACCGTTTGTGTTTTTATACAATTTGATATATATATACCATTTGTATATATGTACCATTTGTGTCTATGTACCGTTTCTGTATATGTACCGTTTGTGTATATGTTCCGTTTGTCTATATGTACTGTTTGTGTATATGTACCGTTTGTGTACCATTTGTATATATGTACAATTTATGTATATGTCCCATTTGTGTAGATGTACTGTTTGTATCTATGTACTAATTCTTTATATGTACCGTTTGTGTTTATGTACCGTTAGTGTATATGTACCGTTTGTGTATATGTACCGTTTGTGTATATGTACCGTTTGTGTTTTTATACCATTTTATATATATACCATTTGTGAATATGTACCGTTTGTGTATATGTACCGTTTGTATATATGTACCGTTTGTGTATATGTACCGTTTGTGTTTTTATACCATTTGTATATATGTATCACTTGTGTCTTTATACCGTTTCTGTATATGTACCGTTTGTCTATATGTACCGTTTGTGTATATGTACCGTTTGTGTACCATTTGTATATATGTACAATTTATCTATATGTCCCATTTGTGTAGATGTACTGTTTGTATCTATGTACTATTTCTCTATATGTACCGTTTGTGTATATGTACCGTTAGTGTATATGTACTGTTTGTGTATATGTACCGTTTGTGTATATGTACCGTTTGTGTATATGTACCATTTGTTTATATGTACCGTTTGTGTACCTTTTGTGTAGATGCACCGTTTGTGTATATGTACCGTTTATGTACCGTTTGTGTATATGTACCATTTGTGTATATATACCGTTTGTGTACCATTTGTGTATATGTACCATTTGTGTATATATACCGTTTTTGTATATGTACTGTTTGTTTATTTGTACCGTTTATATGCCGTTTGTATATATGTACCGTTTGTATATATGTACCATTTGTGTATATGTACCGTTTGTGTACTGTTTGTGTATAAGTACCGTTTGTTATTCCTCGGATGCAAACATTTGAACTTGTTTATTTCGGTATGTCTCATTATTTGATATCCTATTTTATTGTGGGATATAAAGTTGTCTGATGCTCCTTATGTCGTCTGTTGGTTCCATCGTTGTAAAATTTGTGACATTCTTTACTTGGATTAACACAGTGATGAAATATAACGTGTTTCACTGCACCAGAAGAATAAAGTTAGAAGAGTACATTAAAAAAGGTCCTTCATTGTTTACATGTGGAACACGGTGCTACGACCTTCATCAAATGACTAATGTCTGTCGTCGATCTATACCATGGTTGTTGGTGTTGATGATTAAGAAAGTAAAACCTAGAAAATCGCTAATGATTCCGGTGTCATTGTCGTATGAATCACCTAATATATATTTCATTAGCGTGTGAAGTAAACGTAAGTGATATTTCACTATGTCGATATGTTAAACTTGAAATCAGTCCAGATCCGGTATCAGCAACACCGTCATCCATGCAGATGATCGACATGTGTTTATTGCATGTTTCCTTATCTTTGTCCCAGGTGTTGCAGCAATGACATACAGCAGATTATAAAGAGATGATGCATTCAAACTTCTCTGTTATTTCACGTTCGTAAATCCCCGGCGCAAGGTTTAAAACATGATATAAATGAATGTAGCTCTCTCCTCTCAGCACGTATAAGTAAAGATTCACCATTGGCGGCAACTACATACTTGAATTTACAGACATGTGTATTTAAATGTCGTGAATCTAACATCAAATTGCAACATTGTATGTTGTAATGTAATGTGAAATTAACAAAAACCATATTGACAGTAACAACGTCTAACGCTCTTCCCTCTCTATTCTTCGTTTTATTTTGTCTCAACGTTTCAGATAAAACGTTTCCTGACTAAGGTAAGTAGAGCCAGAGTGAAATATGGATTATCGGAAAACGTACAGCATAGGTAACGTATAGGTGATTCATATGTTTACGATAAAAACTGATCCAGGTGTGTGTCATATTGGTGAGGTATTGATGAGACCGTATGAGTAGTAAGGGGTCATGTACTGTATTCGGTAAACACAATTATAATAGGATATATTTCAACAGTCTTAATGTAGTCCACTATCGGATTTTATCAGCGGACTGATGGATTGTTACAGTTACAAGACTTTCACGGAGGTATGGGATTATTGTGAGCATGGTTTTAAAGACAAGTGGTGCTGGCCTAGTGCAGTCAATTTATTAACACAGAAGAGTGTGACTCATTAATCAAACCAATCGAACGAGAAACACATGAAAAAACGCACAGATTTCAACACTAGTTAAGCGTGATAATATAGGGATAATTCTATCTATATAATTTGGTTTTAACAACAGATGTTTCATTAAGTATCAAAATCATGCAATACTAGTTAAATAACTTTGGAAATATCATATATACTAATTATACTGATTTTTTCTTCTATCATTTTTACCCCGAGTAACAACAGGAAGTTTATAGTCACAATTAAGGCTGTAAGCACTACTGACGAGTTATAGAAGGAGAGCGGTATGATGTTGTTTGGTGCACTTTTCAGTTTTGGCTCTGATCGCCTCGATCTTCAGTAGAAAAGTAATCACAAGGCACAACTTTCATCCTAGCTAGGAAAATCCTTTCCTTTCCTGCTTTTCATTATCCATGCCTAGAAAATATACTTGTATGTTTTTCAATATTGACCATCCAAATGTAGGGATCAAATTAGTAGTCTATTTTAGTATTACATTTTCCGTCGAATGTTTCGATATCTGACGGATGAAAATACAACACGTTCTTTTGGGGAGAACATCGATGATAAACACCAAAAAAGGATCACAATTACAATCCCGTTGTGAAATATTCCATTTCGTCCTGCAATCTGTTATTAGATGTATTGCAGTTTCGTCTTTATTTGTATAGGTTATATTTGGAAAACGTGGAATCACTCTCTTGGAAGGCCCAAAATTATCGTGGCAGATGTCGCCGATGGAGCAAAAAGATGTATAACATTCCGGAACATCTGGTCTTAGTCTTCTTGTGCGTTTTGAACAGTGTAAACCTTTCTATTATTTCGCTTGTGGCATTCTTTCATTGATCCTGAATGCTTTATTTGAAATTGAAAAGGCTATCACAAACAATGTTTCAAAAAAACTGAAGTATGACCCAATAAAATTGAAAATTTTTTTCGAATGTAAACTTTTGATTGTTTATGTAATTTGTTTAAGTTAATGAGGAGTGGGATGTTACTCGTTGAGCAGGGTTGCAATATCCTTGTCCTAATTTATGGAGTTGTTTGAGGTGTTTTATTGAAGAAGCGAATGGACTTATTAATTAACGATATTGCCTTCAGAGCTCCTGTAACTAAGGTCTTCTGATTAAATATTTCATGTAGTTATCTAGCCTATAACTTTGTCATGGATAGGAATCGTGTTAGAATAGCAGTATGATGGTTATACAATTAGAAGGCAGTCTGGTCGAGCAAAACGCCTGTTACAGAATCATTATACACGATGGCGGAATGGATAAGTCGACCGTAAGTCTATATCTTGTTTTTAAGGGTGGGTTAGGAACCACAATGCTTAGAATCTGGTCTTCCAAATCATCCATTCAACTTTTAGTGCGGGCTGATTTTCAAATTAAAATGGACCAACCTAGCGTTGGAAGTATCATGTTTAGCACAGGGACAGCGGACGAGCACCTGATCGATTTACAAAGCAAAATGTCATACAGTAAACTTAAGGGTAGAACAGTGTAGCAGGGGTGTAAGCTGACAAGTCACGAACCACCCTACCAGGTAATGCAGGTGGGCTGATTAAAGGTAGCAGAGACAAAACAACTTCACCGCCTTTATAAATTTAATCTTCAATATACAAGGAAACACAGGCTCAATATACAGGTGGCTTGACAATACAGCCAACAGGTGCTCCATGTGCCTGCTACGTCGGCCACTCATGTATACAGCACTCACACGAAAAATTATGTAAATTTTACCCGCTCTATAGTAATAGTGAGATCGCACAGATACTCTTCAGCGCTATCACACCGACCAAAACCCTTTATTACGAGCACCATGCTTTTCATATACAGTCGCAAGTAGCGTAATACCATTCTGATTCTAGTCCGAGCATTGTTACACTGATACCCAACCTAATACGCTAGCTTGTCACCTACCTCTACAACTCGCTTCATAAAACGTCAAGGCTTGTGAAAAAATTAGTATATTTTTTACCCGGTAAAGCTTCCACATTTATAGGGCGGAACATGATCGCTGACAAATCAAATTCATATAACACAGTGCAGCCTGTCCTTACAGTAATGTTATATTCTCCCTTGTTTCAGTCGATTTTGCATGTGTATATATATGTGTACCTTCTCCGTCGTACATTACATTTTACTATGAGTACAACCCAGCAGGAAAGTTTCATTGACAAACCTACATGGTCTTTGATTGACATTTGTACGTTATGCTCCGGTGATAGAGGCCACGCCCCTTTGTTGCCCAGTGTTGTGTACTACGATACGGCGGTACTTGTCAGTCGACTCGGCGAGACCCGGCGCCAGATTACAACAACTAAACATGTTGTCCACACTTGGGAGTATTGCTGTGTATGTTCAATTCTCTGGCCAAATAATGTTGCTTTTTCTAATGCACGAAAATTATTCGCCACATCAATGACATGTGATGCCCAGTAGATGAAAGTTATCCTCCATATTAATTATTACACATGTATTCACCGGAGTAGTAGTGAATGATACCTTGGCCTAATGAGTTAAAACATGCGTCGGATTAAGGACAGAAGCTTGCTTTGCACTGTTTTCGCTCTCTTCAGTGCTTATGAAGCAGCACTTGTGCTTACCCCTCCTTCACTTACGGATAGTGTTAATGAAGGGGCAGCAGAACCTGACTTAATAAATCCCGGATTCATTAATAAACATCTGTTTCCTAAGCCAGGTAGGTCAATATCCATTTTTATCTATACCAAATGATAAATTGTTACAACTTTGACATTTTCATGCAAAATATCACATTTGTTATGTATAATGATTTAAGTCAATGCTTTAACATGTAAGAGTGTTGATAAAAGTGTGGATATATATATATATATTTATATGTACTATATAAGTAGTTAAGTGATGCTTGTAATTTATGCATGGACACTTACTAGAGCTACATGTCTATAAACATTATTTAAATATTTATTATAATATCATTGTTGTCTTGATCATGTGCTGAAATAAAGTAAATGTTCTGTATATCTATAAGCATGCCAAGTGTATCTTATATTTGCCAAATTTGGGCAATTCAGTCTTTATGCTTTGTGTATGAGCGGATGGCGGCATAGTGCTGTTTGTCGGTTGAACATTTTTATGGTCCATATAATTCATAGCTTAAAATGATGTGTTGGAACATACAGAATTGAGGTATATTTTCTCATCACAATAACGTTTTAATTCAGAATTTAAATCATCGTTTATCAGCAGTTGCATAGACATTTTTTCAAGCTTGCATCATAAAGCGTTGGTATATGAACACATAGCCACGTGTTTGGTTTGCTTGCCTAATGTTCGTCCGCTGCACTCGTAATAATACGGGTGCAATCAATATTCACTGCTGGGAGTGTATTCGGAGGGTAGGACGATAAATAGAAAGATGCACTCAAAGGATAGAAAATTTACCTTGATAAGAGTACACATATATATTGATGGGGTATGGAGTCAGTTTGTTGTCGGCTTTGGTTATATGTCTCTTTTGAAGAAATTGCTCAATGGGAGTGTGATAATTACGAGAGCTTTGTAGTTTAATTATTTGTATAAATAACTGAATGAGTAAGATGTTGTGTAGATGAGTATGTGTTTGTCATAGCCAATAGGACGAACGCAGTAGTAGTCTGATTTAAGGCTGTACTCAACTTGAATGACCCACATTTAGTGTCACTGCGCAGATGAATGGGGACAGAGCCAGGTGGCCGGGCTTTATCCTTCAGCTTACAGTGGTATGCAAATCAGGTCCTTCCCATGTGTAAATTAGGATATTGTAAACAGTATATATAAGACAGTGAAACGTCTGAGATCAATAATTATGACGCACTACGAATATAGGAAACCACATTTAACAAATATTTAACTTAAAGCGTCCTGAACTTATCAGCTGCTTGTTTCAGTTTCATTTGATTCATAAAGTGAAATGCTGTTACACAACATACCAAGGATTTAAAATAAATACGGATGTACTTAGAGCTTAATAAGAGGGCAATTGTCTGAACACCCTGCTAAGCCGTTCCCTCCTGTAATAAGTCCAGCTGATGTTGGTATGAATGTGTTAATAAAAAACACAGGTATATTGAATGTGGTTGTAAAAATGATGATATTTTATATTCAATAAGATAAAAATGTAAACAAGGTTAGCTTTGATCATACTTGTAACAATTCAGGGTACATTTAATACACCAGTGGAGAAAGAGTATGTTTCTTTTGTCCTTCAGAGTACACAGCCGATCCTCAAGTTTTATTGGTCTACATGGATATTAAGAAATGCAGCCATACTCATCACTTCTTTTCAATAGTATAGGCAGTTTACCGAGCCGCTGATTCTAAAAAAGTATATATTTTACACACTCCTACCCTTTTCATTGTAAGTCAGTATCTAGTTAAAATCCAGGAAACGCATAACACAGAGATTATTTGCTATTTGCAACCTTTCTCACCGTAAAGTTATATATACTTCAGTTTGGGGCATATAGGATAATGTTTTACAATATCTAGCTGTCAAAGTAGGGTATTTTGTTACTCCACACAAAGTATGCAATCACTCTAAAATCGATTCAGTATCCGCACGGCTCAGTTGTATCATTACGGAACACGTATAGTTCGAATGGATTAAGATTGCAGATATCCCGTTCACCTGACGTTATATAAACGATATGAATGAAGTAAAAATGTCATTCAGTCAACGGCGCTTTAATTAATTAACTCATACAAAATACATATAAATGTAAGTTACATTTTACCGGGAACATTGATAGAGTGAGGGAATTCATTTGTCATGGATGAATGACCTTAAATATAGATAGGTTCAAATTTCTTATCCATTTTCTATGTAAATTATGTTTAACGATACGTAACCGGTATTTTGACGACTGGCCAGTATATCGGTGATAGTGTTATAGCTAATGATTGAGTTTAATTACCACAGTTTAGCTGAGGGTATAATTACTATTTCCTGTATACGTCATTGTGTCAGTATGTAAGTTCGACTAGACCTATAATAAGCAGAAGTGGTGCAGGAAGTCCAAAAACAAATATGACATTTTATCGACTAATCTAAATATTATATTAATTAAATCTTTCTTTACATCATTGCTATGGGAAAGGGTTTTGTCTCATGAGAAACACCGAGTTCAACACGGTCACAAGGTCACTTGTAAAATCCATATACAATATTATGTACCATGTAATAGCGAAATTCAAATAATTCTTCAATTATCATTTTAAATTAGAAATACATGTTGAAAACTAATGTTTATATTGGCTGAAAATTATGTTCTCCTATGTTATTACCAGTTGTATTTAGATTTGTATCAAATTATGTTTACTGAGAGAGCGTTTAAATCAGGCTTCTCGATAGAGACCTTATTTAGTAACGTTTAAGCGAATTGTTGAAATGTACACCAGCAGTCATTAAATCTGATTAAATATAAATTACCTACAAAGATACAATGATACAAGCTGTTTTGACTTTTAAGTTCTACGGCGTAATTCAGCTCGTTACAGGGGTAAAAAACTATTTACGTAGTCTGAAAATATGTTTCTTTCCAATACCGATCGTTAATATATGTTAAATCTATTATAAACTATAAAAAGGACTGACATCAAATGTTTAACGTGAAATAATTCTTTTTCACACTCATCTATATTTTGCTAACCTTGTCCTCTGTCGCATTTCAGCGTATTGTAGTATAATACAGAACGCAAACAAGGATGTCCATCAGAATTTTGTTGAAATAATCTTTACAGGAGTCAAGTTTTACAACAGAGTATTGAAGTGAATAAAGTAGTTCCTTTCAATAGTTTATATTTGGTGACGACAAAAGCACGAGCATGCCATTTCCGTCCTTTGATTTGGTTTAAATGCGACAGCCCCATGGTGTAAGTATTATGTTATAAATTCAAGCCTAACGTTTCATGATGTTCTAGCTTAAGAAATATTCACAAACGGGAAAAGTTTATCTTAACGTTACATGCTCCTAGCTTTCTGGATACTCATTACTTCATATAGCTGTACAGCTAACCTCAATACACAGCTCAAAGTCTCTTATTGCATGCCTGCTTTAGTATTATTGAAAATTGCACCATCAATATTCATTTTTCTTTAATTTCAACAAATTCTGTACTGAGTCTTTTGTGCACATGCGAGCGAACTGACACTTTGAAATTTAATTCAGGTATAAGTACTGTGCCTTATACACGACTCTATGAAGGCAGTCACAAATAGATACACCCTTTACAGAAGACTTGAGAGGTTACCATCGGTCGTATTTACAAAGACAAGTAATGTGTAGTTAGGTCAAAGAGTTCTACCTTCTAATCATTGATTTACAAGATAAATACTATCTGTAATTAGCATCATTCTAAACACTAAACTCGCTTTAAGCTTTAAGAGGCCAAAACGAGAAACAAATCACTATAGAGAACGCAGCTAGGTCACAGGTCAACACGCTTAAATGGCAGATTTGAGCAGATGCTGTGTTGAAATAGAAACCTTTTGATGATAGGAATACATACAAAGAGAAACTACCTCTGCCATGTAATGTATAGCTTCCGTAGAAAAATTGGTGATATTTTCTTCTTACATGTCAATTACATGTCCCGTGACTGGATTACTGTGGGGGCCTGGCAAGTCAGCAAGCAGACAGACCTCTCAACGTGGGGGAGGGAGCAAAGGTTCTGCTAACCCCACGTGCAATACGGGACCACCGACCTGTACATTTATATCAGTACACCATTGATCTGTTGCACATGTTTCATGTTAGGTTTATATAATAAACCTTACCATTTACTGTGACTAGTAGAGGGAGCAGAAATGCAGTCTCTTTACTACGTTAAAGGGACGTCTTCTTACAGAACGACCCCATATAACAGTCCACCATATAGGTTTGGGGGAATTCGAAGTGAGGTTATGCTGAATAGTGAAAACCTAATACATATGTAGATAGTGTTAACATGCTTATACTTATTTTAATTTCACGGCTATTTCGTTTCTTCAATTTGGTTTCTGTTGTTTATTATTATGAAGCGATATAATTTTTACTTACTTCTGTTGTGAACAAGATCAAAACAAGCATATAATGTTTTGTGTTTCATTACTTATATTTGTAACTGACAGGTTTTGCAAGACACGAACACTTCAATGTAAATTATGTACTTCGTTCGTTATATTTCACACTTACTCGATACAATTCCTCCATATTCGTCTATGTGTTGGCACACTCAGATTGTAAATCATGGCTCGTGTAATTTATCAAAGTATAATTAAAGTTCAGGCTAAATAAGGAACTATCTACAATACGTTGCTGGTTTTATGTTTCTCAAGTTTTTTTATATCTGGGTTATGGCAGACGTGAAGAAGCCGTGACGTTAAGTATCGATATTTGGTGTACCTGTGAATACGTATTACCTGTATACGTCACCTCAACAGGACATGTATGTATATTGAACTGCCTGGTAAGCCAGAATGGATATGCTTTATAAGTATATTTCACATCTGAGTAATATCACCTATTTTGCTTGATTTTATATTTTCAATCGAATATCCTCTAAACCGATCACATGACCCTTTTCGATACTTAGATTGTGGCCTCTGCCAAGAGTCTGCTTGTCAATACATAAATTGAACGATATACATGTATACATATATATGTGTCTTTATAAATGGACATAGCCTTAATACGAAAT